CCTCCGGGGCAGGCAGGAATTGAACTCATGCGGAAGCGGCTTTAGATTCTCAGTGCTGTGCTTTAACCCGCTGCGCCACCAGGGAGGGCCAAAGCTGTTTTTTGACATATTTTAGATACATACATTCAACAGCTCAGCTCTTGAATGCATAAATAAACAATTTTTTTTAAATAAAGAATTGTCACATGAATAACTTGTGAAAAGTGGGGCAAAGGAAACGTTCAATCCTGACTCCTTTCTCCTCTTTCTTTTTTTTTTCTTTCAAGAAGATGAGGTGTTACTTGGTGATGGGAAGCCCATGGGGATTACAATTGAGATGAAAAAAAAAATGTACAGAATTGATGTAAAAATAAACTATTATAAAAAAAGATGAGGTGCTTAAATGACAATGTGAGAAACTAAAACACATTTATGAAATACAACAATACAGATATTTTATGTATATTCAAAGCAGTATTCTATTTTTTAAATTTACTGTTTCATTTTTATATATTTTATATTTTTCTTTATTTTCATACAATGTATGTTTTATCATCTTGTGAAAAGTTCCCTAGAAATTCCTACCACAAATTCACCCATCCACCATCACCATAGTCCCTTGTGTTTTTCCCACCCATTTTGATCCAGTTTTCCCCCTCTCCAACCACCATAAAATGTCTCTGGTTTACAGTTGCCTGTTGATTTTGTTTTTTAGTTAGTTATAATTACTTCACCCTTATCTCTTATTTGGGCCCCCTTCATTCCTTTTATAAGAGAAACCATCAGTATTTTTCTTTTTCTTTCTGGCTAATTTCACAGAGCATGATCTCTTCCAGTTTTATTCATGTTGCAAGTAATATTCCATTGTGTGTAAATATATACATATGTGCATATGTATGTGTATATATATGTTGCAAGTAATATTCCATTGTGTGTAAATATACATAAATATATATATATGTGTGTGTGTTTATGTATGTGTATCTATATATGTGTACACACATACAAACATCTTGGTCCAATCATTTATTTTGGGTATTTGGGTTATTTCCATAGCTTACCTATTGTGAATAGTGCTTCAAAGCAGATATTCTATATCTCAAAACTTACTTGTTGGTTTGATCCACAGGTATAGAGATTCCATTTGGAATTAAATCCACATCATTTTGGTCCCAATGTAGCTGTACAAAACATGAAGGAAAGTCTGAATAATCAATAATTCTACTGTTATTGCTGGTACATTCTTCCCTATAAAATTTTAAATAACTGAGAGCTGCATCATTATTCAGTAGAACAGTCTTCTAAAATATGTAAAAAAAGTAAAGTCTACCACAGTATATATTATACATTATTTTAAAGCATGTATTATTTTGTTGTTTATTGTTCACATTGATTGAAAAAATCATATTTTCACTTTATTTGAAGGTAGACAGACATAAAGTGTCAAATCAGTAGCAGATGGAAGGAAAGTCTTAGAGTACAGAAGTAAAACATACTTCAAGATCAAAAAATGAATCCCATATTTAAGACAATATAGTAAAAATTATTTTTTAAAAAAGACAACAGATTAAAGCTAAGCTACAATATGGCTTTCATCAGTACTCACAGAAAAAAATATCTGAAATTGTTCTTCAAGGTCATCAGCTTCATAATTTAGAATTTCTTGCAGACTCCTAATAAAAATTTTAATTTAAAAATATATTTATTGGGGGTATAAAAGTAATGGTAAAAGTTATAAATGTTCAATGGGGAAAATTCTGAACAATGTAGAAATGTATAAAATGCCATGTAAATTTTCTCTCCTCTATCTTCCCACTCACTCTTCTAGAATTAACCTCCAATTTGCTTGGTTGGCCCACTGACACCTCAAAGACAGACTGTGTCTCCTTGGTAATTTCAAAAAGAGCCCCTTCCTCTGAAGCAGTTATTTTCAACCAGGGGTGATTTTGTCCTCACAAGAGATAGTTGACAAAGTCTAGAAACATCTTTGTGACAATCCAGGAGATGGTTGTTATTGTCAGCTAGTGGGTATCACAACCCCATATGCAGCTAAACATTCCCTACGTGTCCTTCAATGCCTAAAACAGCCTTCTACAACAAAAGAATTATCCAGCTCAAAATGTCAGTATTGCCAAGAGTGAGAAACCCTGCTCCACACTGTCACAATAAGCAATATAGAGCTGGTTTATTCTTCCACTGACACAACATGGGAAGAGTCTTTCTCCCCCAACCACGATTCATGAAAAAACTTTTACCATGTCAACCTGTAAACAGAAATAACCTCCCCTTTTCATTTTACACTTCAGTTACTAGTGAAGTTGAGCATGTCTTCATCTTTGAACTACCTATGTATGTACTTACGTCGACATATATATCAGAGAGAGCAATCTAATCACAAATGTTGCCAATATTTTCCTCGCAGGATGTAGCTTGCCTTTGAACTTAAAACAACTATTTTTCATTCCTTAAAAAATAAAGTTGGGGCCCTCCCTGGTGGTGCAGTGGGTTAAAGTACAGCACTAAGAAGCTAAAGCCACTTCAGCATGAGTTCAATCCCCAACCCAAGGTGATCCACATGGCGCGACAGACCTCTCCTGACCCGCCTGTTGCTCCCCTCAGCAGTGTACGTCGTCAGTCTACCTGTTCTGCTCTCCACTCTGTCTCTGGTGAATCCTCTCACTGCCCCTTCACCTCTTGCTTATATCCCAGTTCTGTATGCATAAATAAATCCTTAAAAAAATAAAGTTGATGACATGCTAAAACATTTAAAATAAATATAGCATTAATGATTCTCACTAAGAATATTATGAATTATCCAAGGCAACTGTTTCCACCAGGGTAAATTTATGTGATAAGACCAGAGCTGTGTGTATTGCTTTATACTTAGGGGACTATTTGTTATTTTTCTATTTTGGGAGGTTTATTTGTGTATACTATGATAAAATCATATTCTTATAAAGGACATACATTTATTGAATTTGAAGACAATGCGAGCATGTGTGTGTGTGTCATGATTTATATCTAAACAGCCTAGATATTATAAGAATGAACTACTTACTTTCCCAAAAGAGGACTTAGTTCTTTTAAGTCTTCCAATGATGGATCCAGACCCAAAAGTTTCTTAAACAGAGCCAGTGGGAAAGGGATATTGGCAACATTTAAATGGAGTAGGGAAATTCCACACAGTTTTCCAAAGAGATAATATCTCTTCTTGAATTCAGCCTGGAAAAAAAAAAGGAATCCTTAATGTATTATAAATAATCAATAATCTGAAGAGATAATTGTGAAAATGATGTTAGTTCCTGGTTCTAAAAGTCACAAATTAGGAACAAAATGAACTTTAGAAAAATAATAATTTGAGGTTGCACAGGCAAGAATATAATTTAAAATTAATCAGTAATTTAAAATACAAATTGATGTATCAGGTTATGAAATGAATTTACTTTTTTTTTTTTACTAACAGTGTAACTGGAATATAAAAAAACATGTTCAGGTAGTTTTATAAAACCAGTTTTCACTATTTAATTTTACAGTCACCTAATACTAACTTAGATTCATTGACCTAATAAAATCCTCCATCAAGGGACACTTGGGGTTCTTTTTCTGAACAAGCAACCCATGAAGTGACATGATCTGGTAATGACACTAAGCTGTGCCTTGGTAGCAAAGATTCCAGACATTCCACTCTGTCCAACCTATCCCAATACTGGTGATACTATGAAAACATTAACTCTTTTGGGCTTCCCTGGTAGTGCAAAGGGTTAAGTCTCAGCATTATGAAGCTATCAGCAGCTACTGCAACAGGAGTTCAAGCCTCAGCCAGAGAGCTAACCCACAAGGCGCAGCAAACTTCTGTTGCTTGGTGTATATCAGATAATTAACCAAATGGAAGATGCGCAGTAAAGAAAATTGGATTCCTGGAATCAAATAGGATGTAGAGGGATTGCTCTTTCTAAAAGAGTTAATATATTTTTTAAGTATTTATTCTATTTATGCAGGGTGTAGGCCAGAAGTACAGGGTATGAGAGGATTCAGCAGAGACAGAATGGGGAGCAGAGCAGGCCGACTGACTGAAATACACTGCTGAGGGGAGCAGCAGGTGACACAGTAACAGGGGAAGGAGTACAAGTAAGGGAAGAGTAACATTAGACAGGGATATGAAGAAACTTTGGAGGATGATGGAAATGTACATTTTCTTGATCGTGATAATAGTTTCATGGATATATATGTATATCAAAACTTACCAGATTGAACACTTTAAGTGTCTACAGTTGTATGCCAAGTATACTTCAATAAAGTTGTTTAAAAATTTAATGTGCATCTCAATGGTGACTCGATGATGGGAAACCCACGGGGATTACAATTGAGATAAAAAAAAATGTATAAAATGATGTAAAAATAAACTATTATATAAAAAACTTAATGTGCATCTGAAGCACCTTGGGATCTTATAAGCCTTATGTTCAGAACTGCGGTTGATCTTAGATTCTGCTTAACTAACTGTTCCAGGTGATGCTAGATCACAATTTGCTATCATCTAATTTTACATTATACTATTATGTATGCTATCATCTAATTTTACATTATATTATTGATCTTCATATTTCAGTATATGGTATTTTTGTTTGTTTGGAAAAACCCCCAAGAAAATGAACTAAAAACTTACATTTACATTAACAGGAAACCACATGTAGGAACCATCTTCAGGATATATGAACATTCCGTATTCTACCTTGGTCATCTCTTCAAATATACAATGGAAGAACTCGGATTTTACTCCTTCACCCGGGGAAACAATTTCTTCAACAAATTCAATCTGAAGAAAGAAAACATACTCCTAGGTCTATAGTTCAAGTATATGTCTGATCTCTACGTAAAAGTTCTTACCCTCCTATAATCACCAAAATTCCCAGAATCCCACCTCCCTTTCCTCACTGCCATCTGTTCTCCTTCACTTTGCAGTGGATGTCATGAACCTATTTATTGTCAGGTTACTGTATAGTGAGTCCATGGGTCTTTCACACTACTACTTACCAAATGAAGGGGGACTCAGAAGATACAGCATTCACCAATTATGTTGACCATCATCTAGAACCAAGTTTTTATGTGCTTTAAGTTTCTGGAGGTCATTAAATTTCCTGATTCTTTTACCCTATTATCAATCTTCAACTCATCATTCAGACTTTGCCACTTTGGCTCCAGTCTACACCTACTTGGTCTCTCCTGCCTCTACCCTCAATTAAGATTTCTGATAAACAACACTTTCAGTCAGCCAGGACATAGCACTTTGCAGGAATCCTCAGAACTGATTGTGCATAGCCTTCATGTGGGAAATCAGTAGGAACTAGTCCTTTTCTAAAGTCCATCTTTGAACTTTATAGCTAGTACTGGCTTTCATCCTATGACTCTCATGATTTATTCCCTACTTCCTTTTCTGGCTAATTTTTTTCTATCTTTTTTTAATATAAACATTACCAATCTTCACTAAGGGTTTCCTTTCTGCTGACTTTGGAAAATATTACCTTCCCATTTGGTCAATCCAACTCTTTGGCTACAAACTATTATCTCCAACAATCTGCTTCAGACTCCAGTTGAATATCTCAATACCAAATTAAACCTACTTCTGATTTTCTTATTTCTGCACATTTACAATAATTTATCTGCTGGGTGCAGGACCCATTAATAATAATGGGCCTTGATAGTCATACTTTGTTCAGGTTCTATCTTTTTAAAAAAAATTATTTATTTATGCATACAAAACTGGGGTATAGGCCAGAAGTGCAGGGGTGGTGAGAGGATTCACCAGAGATAGAGTGGGGAGCAAAAGAGGCCAACTGACAAAGTACACTGCTGAGGGGAGCAGTTAGGGGGTCAGGAGAGGTTTGCCATGCACCCAACTCCGATTGCCATGTCTTCCTCGCATCCACTCCCCTTTTTCTCCTTTTCACCCTTTTCTAGGAATCTCTGCTCACCGACGCCACTCCCACCTTGAGACCCTGCCTGTTCTGCCCCCCAATAATCCATGATCAGGGACAAAGAGTCTCCGACAGATTAGGTTTACTACCTTGTGTTTCTGGTACTGCTTTGAGAAGACCATTGTAGCTAAGCCAGAAAAAGATGAAAAACCAGGAAGTGGGGCCAACTTGCCCCACTTAGGCCTAGCCTAGCTCAGCTGAATCCTAGTCAACTCCCAGACATGTATACAAATGCAGACAAAATCACAAAGCCTCCTAGATGAATTCAATCTAGGCCTGCAGACCTTCAGCTGAATTCCAGATTTCTAAAATAAATCATTTCTATTTTAATCTATTAAACTTGGGGCCCTTCCTGGTAGCCTAGGGGTTAACTCTCAGTGCTATCACCTCCAAGACCTGAGTTTGTTTCCTGGCCAGGGAGGTGACCCACATGGCACAGCAATCCTCTCCTGTCTTGCCTGCTGCCCCTCAGCAGTATATTTCAGTCAATGCCTGTTCTTCTTCCCACTCTGCCTCTGGTGAATCTTCTCACCACTACACCTCTGGCCTGTACTCCAGTTTTTCTATGTATAAACAAACAATTTTAAAAAAAAAATAAATGAATAAGTGAACTGATGAAAAAATTATTGAGATTTATTTAAAAAAATAAGCAATTAAACTTTGAGATTTTGTAGCAATTTTGTAACCATAAGTAATTAATAATTATCTTATAACCCCAGTATTTTATTAAAAATCCCATCATTTTCTCTGAAGTTAAGTTGAATAAGGAATGGAAGCTACAAGCTGATAATAACAGTTGCAATTGCAGGTTATTTCACTATGCCTTATGTATTTCCCTCCCACTTTATAAAAGACTCCAGTGAGGCTTTTTACTGTACCACTAATTGTTTGCAGAGGTCAGTATCTTCAAATTGGTTCAACTGGCGCAGAGTATCTTCAACTAGGTGATTACGTCTGACTTTAAGAATACAAATGGGTGGTAGAAAGCTTCCCAAGAGATCCTGTTTTATTAATTCAATGAATGATCCTGTAGCTGATATCTAGGAAAAGAAATATTTTAGGAATGTTCATAGGAGTACTATGAAGCATTTAATATTTCAAATAAACATCTTTACCAGAATACCCTTATGTATACTACTGCTATATATACTCATAGTGTAATTTTTAAGGGAAAGGACACCATATCACCACTGTGGAGGATGACATGTTCACAGAATCAGAGAATTGTGGCACCAAATTAACTCCCATGGATTACAGTTAAGTAATGAAAGTCACTTCTCATCACTGAGAAAAACATGATAGTCAACATGTTAGACATTTATCTACCATCTGTTTTAAGAAATAGAGTGTTGTTCAACATAACACTGGAAGTTCTAGCCAGAGCAATAAGACAGGAAAAAGGCATACAAGGAATTCAAATAGGGAAAGAAGAA